TGTTATGGTCCGGTTTCTTGTACCACGGTGATAGTCCAAGGTAGAACCAATAAAAGAAGAACTCGAATACGGATATGGAATAACACAGATATATTACAAACAGGAATATATACAGGAAAGTAGAAAATGTTAGTACGAACAATTAGGTTTAGTAGTAATTGTCTGAACGCGACTCTGTTTCGGACTGCGTCTGACTCTACTGACTCGCTCGCTCTGACTGACTGACTTCTGACGGACTTCACTCCAGACTTCAGGCGGAATGGTATTTAGTCACCCGTGGGCTCGGCTAAAAATATGCCCTTTCGGTTTACCTCCCCGAAAGAGACTCCGCCCTTCGGCGTAGCCTCGTTCGAGTTCCTCCCTGCCCGAAGGCAGAGAGTTCAGCCGGTCAGCCGGTCGCCCGACTTCGGACTGAACGATATTCAGTCACCCCTCCCACGATGGCGTCATGTGGCACAAGGCCTTTTTAACGTGGGATCTCCGAGCCCGTGTGCCCGGCCAAAAATATGCCCATTGAACCCGTATAAACGGGTTCAGGGTCGGTTTACCTCTCCGAAAGAGACTCCGCCCTTCGGCGTAGCCTCGTTCGGGTTCCTCTCCGCCCGAAGGCAGAGAGTTCAACCGATCACCCGGTCAGCCGATCGCCCGACTTCGGACTGAACTCTGTGCTTCCTCTTGGGGCGCAGTATTTATTACGTATGGAATAGTCCATTGTTATTATGGGTAAGGTCCCATAACAATATAACTACATTTCTGTTGCTTCAAGTCTTTTCTTCATCTGTAAGTAAAATATCCAGCATTTGCTGCCATGTAAGAGGATTGATATCGTATAGGAGTCCAGCACTCTTTTCTTTGTTTCTAACGAAATTATCCTGTTTCTTAATACTTTGTCATTGTCCATTATTCCAATGCGGCTTCGGATTTCGGTGCCATATTTTCCGTTGTCGGTTAAAAGACTTCCCAATTAAGTTTCTGTATTTGTATGATTCTGATCTCACCAGTTCGTAGCTCGCATCTTAGATTTTCCCTTTCGATTATAATCTGAAGTGAAAACCTCGAAAGGTTTTTAATTATTTCCTTTAGATTTATGTTTACTCATGCAGCATATAAAATGATAGATTCATCTACTGGGCTGACTGGAAGTTGAAATAGTTATGCACTATACAGGTCACTAGTTCCGGTGGAACCAGTGACCTGTATTCGAAGCCGGGCAAAAGCTAGGATCTGTCTATATTTCTGAGATGAGGTATTACGTACAATATTTACATTATTCAGACTATTGTCCTCATCTTTGGTGCCATATTTATTACAACGTTTCGGCCGTTGTACGCCCCGGCCTTCTTCAGGTGGTTGGAATTTCGAACTGAACCCTTTATTTCGCTTACTAGGGTAGACTGTTCTAGTTCCACATGCCATGTTTAATGGATGTTAGTTGTCAGTTATCTCCTGTTAATTCCCCTCTCCAAGTTCTTCACTGTCTTAAACGGGTATTGAACTCACACTCTTTGGGTCCTGTCACTGGATCTAACTAACGCCTTTATCCACTGTGCTATGTGTCCTTGAGGCAATACTCGGTTTCTATATGAAACTCACAGGTAAACAGAATATGGCTGGCTGGCTGGCTGGCTGGAGTGGAGAGTGCGAGAGGTGAATCCAAAGTGAGGGTACTAAACTGATGGAATCATTAGAAATACAGAGAAAGAGATTGAAGGTGAAAAAGAAAAGATATGTAGAGAGAAAGAGAAGAGGTTAAACAATAAAATAAATAAAACTAAGGGTTTAATTATCAGAACTAGGTAGATAATGATAGACTATGACACATTAGAGGGGGGGAGATAGAGAGAGGTAAAATAACAAAAGGAAGGGTGGAAATATCAAAACTAAAAAAAAGAAAGAGAGGATAGAAAATGAGAAAGAAAGGAACAGAAAAGACAGAGAGTGCGAGAGAAAGAGTAGAAAAAGAGGAAAAGTTGCCGGTGTCTTTGGCCAAATTACATCCTGCCGAATTTAAACGTAGTTATTTTTGACAAATTGTTTCCGCCATTTGCTGACTGTTCAGAGACGCAGTGGGAGTATGTTTCAACAGCAAAGTAGCAAAGGCGGGGGCGCAAAAAAAAAGGTGAGGGTTGTGATAATGTCTCCATAGGCAAGCAAATACTATTCGGATATCACCATATCCCGAGGTCACAGTTGACAAAAAAAAAATTCTAACGCATGCTTAACAAGTCATAAATTAGTGAAACACTGAAATTTAATGGGTTTCGGTAGGCTGAAGATTATTGAACCAATGTGACAGTCACGACATCATGTGTGGCTCGAGCTGGTGTTTGACGAATACGGACGTTGTTCCGTAGTGGGCGGAATATCTTGTGTCGCGACGTTAGTCTCCACAGCTTTCTTTAGGCCAAATACAGCAAAGTCGCATTGTCGTCTACTGAAAATCAAATCGACTGTCTTTTCGCCAGAAGAAAGGTTTTGTTTTTGTTGTGGAGTTATTTCGCAGTGGAGGCTTGTATTTGTACTAAATCCGTCCTAAAATAGGTTCGACGTACAAAATGTTAGGAACTTGATATAATAGGCATTACGCAGAGTAATCTAGTGGTGGTCGCTGATACTTTCGAATTCGACTAATTGTCGTCCGACATCGACTGACTGGCCGACTGGTTACTCTTACTACTCCTACTTATTATAGGTGGGAGAATCTATTAACTATAGAATAGGTGTGTTCCACCATAACAGTTTTGGAGGATTCAATATCACAATGCATACGGTCTATATTGTCCACTTTTATTGTCCCCAGTAAGGAAATTTTGCGAACTATTTTTTTAATGAGGAATAAAAGGAAGCAAGAAAGCGAGGGAGATTTCACAATCCTAGCCTTTACAGATCCACGTGTTCCTGTTAAAACTGAAATTCTCATTGAATTTTGGAGGGATAAACTTTTTTTTTCCATTAAGAAATCTCGATTTCTCCCTAATTGTTAAATTCCAGGGTCAACAAAGGCACCCCCATATCCTTTATCCAGACATTGTGGCAGTCAAATGACCCTGTGAAATGTTTATCGTATTTCAAAAATTAAATCGAGTTATACATGGACACGTTACATGATGCAAATACACTATTACTAAATAATTGTGCCATCAGATAAGATCTTCATTTACTTCAAACGGAAATTTTACTGAACAATTTAGCAATATTATGATGTAATATGTTATACAGTGTAATAGTTTTCATGTGATTTTCAATAAACAGTGTAAATTTAAAACAATTCGGCTAATAATTTGTGCCCCGCAGTATTATGCTGTTATATACACTTTTATCTATTTGTTTGTTTTTATTAATTATGATTAATAAAAGATCTAACAAATATTATTCCTTTTGTAGCGTTTTTCGTAATCTTTTACAATATTTTACATATTTTTCTTATCGAATACAGTAAAAAAAATGTATATTTTGCTTTCAGTGATTCATAATTAGAATTCTGGTTTGAATATATTTTCCATTCAATGTATCTACAACTTTTATTTGGAGTTACTCTTGAAATAGTTAAATTTTGTCGTCCGTTTGTAAGCAAAAACTTGCGGTAATTAAGTATTTCTGTGCATTTTTCAGACGATATTTATACCTAAATGATCAAAAATTGATAAGTCATGATTCTAATTTTTGGTGTCAGTACTTATCACATGAAACCCCAGCTATCATATAGAGGGTAATGTTGATTTTCTAAAAACATCGAAAAATCAACCTGTCCAGGTGAAAATGCATGTAATAAAGCTCACCTACCTCTTTACCTCATTCTCAAATAGACCGGGTTAATCAGTCAAATAATACCAGTCTACGAATGCCTTGTCAGCGGAGCCGGAAATACGCCGACTCCATTCCTTGCAGATGAATAAAACACCCCCTAAAAGAAGCCCCCCCCTACTAAGTAGAAGCTTATAGAAAAATATAAATGATCAATATTTATTTCCGAACCAAATATAATTTACTTAAATCACTCAGACTTTTTAAAAATCTGTGTTCTCCATTAAATAACCTAACATGGATTCGCATATTGTGAAATATCCCAACCTGCCACTGCATTTCATTGGTTACAGGTTTTAAGCAATTCATGGCAATCACAGTAATAGCTTGTATGTATGGCTGCAACCCTCCAATTTCTGTACAAGTGTTTGTAATGACAAAAATACGCAGGTATAGACTTTAAGAAAGCTTTACTCAACTGAGAATACAAGATTCGCGTATAGTATCCTTTTATAGTCCCAGTAAATAGAAATAGCTCTCTCAAAACAAAACAAGGGGAGACGACTCTTGATTATTTATAACAGTGTTATCTTTGATTGCTGAAATGTCGGCGATTTATTGATGCATACACTCTCCTTCTGGTATCCATTAGAAAATAATTGGGTGGCGTCAGATCAAAAGAAAATGGTGACAATGACACTTCAGAATTTCACAAAATTGTCCGGTAAGGAAATGTTTGATTAAATCAAAAATAAATTCCCAAGCGTTTGGTTCTTTGTTCAGATTTGAATTTTTGAGATAATTTTCCTATCTTCATCTTACTTTTGAAAAAAAATTATAAAAACTATTATGAAATTTTTAAATACTCATGTGACTTTTTAAACTCTCCGTAGCTAATGTGGCACATGCTATAAATCTGCAGACTGTCAGTATCAGACAATCTTTCTCCATTGAAAAGAAATCAAAGACGTTTGGAGACTGTACCACATACAATTCCAGTTGTCTGATTTTAAAACACTAATGGGATTATTACTGCCCGAATCATATATGAAAGAGAGGGCATATTTTTATAACATATGAAAGCCGGGGCATATTTTTATATCATATGAAAGAGAGGGCATATTTTTATACACCAACAGCATATTAAAAAAAGAAAAAATATTTCTCTTTATAATGAAAATATGAAAAAAAAAAGACGAAGTTCTCAGTAGTTTAATGAAAACAGAGCAATGTAGTTTTGTTACAATTAATTTTGCTTACAGCCATATCAGGTTGAAATATCGGTTTTCATCCGATCACCGAAGTTAAGCAACGTTGAACCGGGTCAGTATCTAGATGGGTGACCGCTTGAAAACATCAGATTTTGCAAACATGGGTGTGCGGGTGGTGTAATGGATAAATGCTTGGAATGAGAAATGAGATATTCGAATTCAGGTTAAGTTCGTTACATTCACTTGGGAAAGGTATGAATCCACATCCTTCTCTTCCCAGTTATGGTTTAAACAGTAAGACTTGTATTAGAAATTCATTATCTCCCCCAAATCTTTTTAGAATCCTTAAAAGGGTCGATAAACCGTAAAAACAAATCGATCAATAAACAAACTACTGTTAGGGATATTGATTGGCATAATTGAAAAGTTTTTTCGATTTTAATGTGCAATGTGGATGTTTCTTGTGCATTATGTCCTACTCGTTCAGCTTCTTCTCACGGACCACTACTCTGGGGAACCGATTCCCAAGAGGATGATTCTCCGATCACTACAATCTTAATCTTTTCAAGTTTAGGGTTAACCGTTATCTTCCTCTCTTATCCGTCCGCATAAATGTCTCTTACTCTGTAAACCTCTACGTCGAGTGGCCTTCGAGCCTTGTACAAAGTGAAAAAAAATCACAAGAATTACTATCTTTATTGACCAAGCTCTCACTCTTTTTAAGGGCTTACAACAAAATATCAAAAAATCAGAAACAGTGCTCCCATCAAAGGCGTCCATCACTGCATCATGCGCCTTATCAATTGCAGGATGTACCGTGTCTCTGCAGGAAGTAGGCGATCATGGCTCTCCACAAATTCCTGTCCTTTATAGCTCTTAATGAATTTTATCTTTTGTTATCTCTCCTAAATCTTGGTCCGCTATCCATTTAATGAGTAAAAGGTTATGTGTTGTTTTCCTCTGTCCTTACCTTCAATCTGTCCTGTGAGTATCAGATTTTCCAAGCTCTCTTTCCTCATTATGTGTCCTAGAAATTTCAACTGTCTCTTCTTGATGTTAAGTATAAGTTTACTCTTCATTTCCATTTTCTCTAAAACTTCATAGTTACTCACATAACATGAATGTCTATGGTATCCTCAGCATCCTTCTGTAGAACCATATTTCTGTTGCTTTCAGTTTCTTCTTCATCTTCGAGAAGATTGTCCAGCATCCAGTGCCATATTGAAGGAGTGGTATTACGCAATAGTTCAGTACTCTTTTCTCCGTTTCTAGCGAAATTTGTCTTTATTGATATTCGGTTTAGCTTTTGGAATTCATCTTGGTTATCCCAATGTGTCTTCGGATTTCAGTGTCACACTTTTTTTTGTCCACTGTTAATACACTTCCCACATATTTAAATTATTGTACATGCTCGATTTTCGTATCTCCAATTTATTTGCATATGGAACTGTCTTTATGACATTCCCCTCCCCCCTTCAAACACAACACGGGATTCTTGGATGTCACGTGGTGAAAGATCCTGAACGCAGGTTATTTTGACTGGTCTTACAAGCGATTTTACTAGACTAAGATCCGGCGACAAGGCTGGTCACTCCGTGTAAGGGATATAAATCCTGACCTTTCTTGCTGTTGTAACCTAGAAAAGGTTACTGAATGAGGAATAACTAAAACGGAGGTTGGAAATGAAATGGTAATCTTTATAACATCAACAAAATACAATACTCGCCAGCGGCGTGAAATAGATAAACCACTGCTAGTGGTGGACTACTTAAACAACATATTACCTCCACTTACAACAGTGTCCAACGTATTTATGAGATTTTAGGGGTGACAGAACTAAGTTCAACTCGGCGGTAATTTGCAGTTCAAGCCCTGCGCTCTATTTCTAATAAAAAATTCCCGAATAGTTCCATTTAGGTGTAAATGTAGATGCTTAATTTGAAAATAATAAAGAAATTTTGATAAAATCTACCGTTTTGGAGTTATCGACAATAAAAGTTGGGACTCATTCGCGTCGCGGTGGGTGAAGTTGAAATTCATTCTGCACCTCTTCATAGGTGCGGTATATAATACTTGACATCCTGTATCTTTACAAAAGCCAGGTCAACGAAAATGGAGTACTGTTGCCATATCTGGGTTGGGGCTACCCAGTCCTCGCTTTCCTGCCTCGACTGAATTCAGAAGTTTGCGCGCTTCCTTCTGGGTGATAAATTGCTTTTTCTTTTTTCAACCCCTTTGCCACACACGAAACGCTGTTGACCTCTCGCTTACTCTATCGCTATTTTCATGGTTCGGGGTGAACTACAATCCGTAGTCCCACCAGTTCAGAACTACATCGTCATGACCCTCGATGCTATGTTGTCAACTCCTCCATATTCCCTCCATATTCCACCGGTGATAAGTAAATTCCCTTCGGAGAGCTTCTTTCTTAAATCTGTTGCAACGTGGTAGGAACTCCCAAGAGAGTACTTCACTTGGCACTACAATCTTAACATCTTCACGTCAAAGACGGGCCGTTATCTATTTTGCATATCTTCATAATATTCAACCTTTGTTCCTTTCCTGGAGGCCATTACAGCATTTCCATATAATAATCCTCTACCTTGAGTGGATCTTTGGCCTTGTATTGGGTGAACAATATTAAAAAGTTTGTTTTTTTTCAGGCGCGTGGTAACTATCATGTTAAAACGAGGAATTTCATTACCATACATAAAGATGAAGTTCAGAATGTCACTGAATTACCATGGTGAAAGCAATAATCTCCCGCAGGTTAAGCAATGTCGAACTTGGTTAGTACCTCGATGAGGGACTGCGCGGTAATACAAGGTGTTGTAAGCTTGGATGTGCAGGTGGTGCAATGGACAATTATTATCGGATTTATTAATCGGAGAGCTGAGTTCCAATTCCTGTTGGGTTCGTTAATATTCACTTACACACAAATATCCTTGGGAAAGGTATGAATCCATCCTTTCTTCCCCGCCATTTATGTGCTAAACTAGTAAGACTTGTGTTACTAAACTATTATTATCTTAAAAAAACAAAAACCTCACAGTCTAAAAATGTTTCCTGGCTTTAAATAACCTACAAAGGGTTGATAAAACGTAGAAAACAAGTCAACATTCTAACCTGCGGGATTGATTATGTCGCTACCACCAGCTCAATGGTATCATACCATTTTTAACTGTTTTATACCTATCACCTCTATATGCAAAGAGCTCATCAGTCAACAACACTGTCAACTATTGTTGCAAGATTAATTCCGCATAGACTCAGGCCCAGTGCAAACATATTTGTAGATGATTGTCCGTTTGGGGGGGGGGGGCTGTCTCCTAATTCAGCCCCAAACGATAAAGGCGGCCATTTATTGCCTGATAGGATACTCTTGCCTCCTACTTCGCCTCTCCACTTGACAGCTCCCGGATGTGTTTGGAGCAGGTCTATAGTTGCATGACGATAGCGTAGGGCCTAAGTCCGGGTGCACTAATCCTTATTACGGTCAGTAGCATGTGGAGCAACGGAACGTGGCTGCTTATAGGACTGATCCTGTCGCCTGATGTCTGAAAATATGTCGACTGATCACACTTTGTGCTAGAAGAAATTTACCAGCAATCTCCGCCTGTTGATTTCCTCTCTGTATGTGTGGAAAGTGTTAGGTGCCGTTGCTGTTCGCTGAGATTGCGAAGGTACACTTTGAGCATTCAAATCACAACTGACTTCTTCTTTATGTGTCATGTCTCTTCAAAACGTAGGCGATCATGACCCTCCACATCTTCCTGTTCCTTTTACCTTTTAATAAATTATCTTTGTGTTATTTCTCCTAAATCCTGTTCCGCCATCTATTTACTCATGCCCGTCAAGTATGTTACGCGCTATTTTCCTTTGTCCTTCTTTCCCTCAATCTGTCTTGTGAGTATCAGATTTTCCAAGCCCTCCTTCCTCGTAACGTGCACCAGAAATTTCAACTGTCTCTTCTTGGTGTTACGTATAAGTTTGCATTTTGTTTCCATTTTCTCTAAAATCTCGTCGTTATTCACATGTTCGGTCCATGGTAACCTCAGCTTCTGTAGAACCACATTTCTTTTGTTTGAAGTCTCTTTTTCATTTTTGAAGATATTGGCCAGTATTCACTGCCATATAGGATGACAGATGTCACGTAACAGTTTAGTATTCTTTTCTTTGTTTCTAACAAAGTTTTTCTGCTTCTTAATACTTTGCTTAGATTTTGAAAGGCATATTTGGCCATCCCAATGCGTCTTCAGATTTCAGTGTTTTTCTCTTTCTGTCTCTGTTAGAACACTTCCCAGGTATTTTTGTTCTTGTTAGATTTTGGTTAATCCCCGATTTGTAATTTGCATTTTAGGCCCAACCTTTAGCTAACAACCATGCATTCTGTCTTATTAAAGTTCGTTTAGTCTTTTCTTCGCTTTCCTTTTGTACCTTCTGTTGGAGCTTTTGTAGTTTTCTTTCTATACCTGCTTCTGCGGTGATATTATGAAACCTAGCCGCCAATCTAGTACTGAACTTGAATTCGTGAAATCGGGGAAGCAACAAAGAAAGCCTATGAGAAGAGTTATAGTTATGAAAGAGGCAGAGGAACTCTACGCTAAAGTGGTGCGAAAGTGAATGAATCCGCGATACCAGCGATAAAAAAGCTGAATTAGATAACATCAAAATCTGGCACTCCATTGTCCTTTGAAAAACGATTGTTGAGTTGATACTTCCCCATTATGCCATTCACTTACCTACTATTAATCAGAGGTGTGTGTATATATATAATATATATAATTATTTTTTTTATAAAAAAAAATATTTATAACATAAATATGTTATAAAATCACTACAAAAATAGCCATTTTGTTTCAACACCCTCGGTGTCTTATCAAGTGATGATGTTGAATATAAAATAAATGGTTTTAAAAGTTTCAAATTTATTAACGATCCTTCGCTAGGGGAAAACATTGTTACAAAAGCTAGAATGACCAATCAAAACCAAAGTATAGGAAGATTCAAAAGCTTGACAACGAAATCATGTTATAATAGCTATTCAGATCTTTAAAATACCGGTAATATTAAAGAGAATTTATTCTAACCAATAATTATTAAATTATATGATAAAATCTGATATTAAAATTAAAAACTGCCAAGTTTAAAATCCAAATTTAATCACTATTAAGTTTAAAAACTATAAAATTACTGAGGAGAAAAGAAAAAATACATGTTATTCAATTTATTTCTTCGTTGAATTCATTCCGTATACACCAATTATATACTTGGGTATATTATATATATATATACAAAGATTGACTAAATATGAGCATGCATGATAAAAAAAATTACCAAAACTTAATAAAAACTTTAAAAATATCGTCAAAATATCTTCAAACTTCTGATTGAAAATCTTGCTTTTCATGTGTCAACGTTGTACCATAAATTAATATGCGAAATTCTAGCGTCTTTTTGCGATGCAAAATGCACTGATTTGGACATTCTTGAAAATATTAAATAATTGTTTGATTTTAACGAGACTTTCAGAACTTATTAACAAATTAATTAAATCATTTTTTTAATTCTTTATTTTTTTTAAATCTTGCTAAAAATACTTTCTGCATTTGTTTATCCACTGTCAATTAATTTTAAGAAATTTGTTTTGTATCGCTTAATGTTTTTATTAGTTATATGGATAGAAGAATTTAAATCCTGAAATTATTTGATTTCAAACAGGACCCCCACCCCAAGTTAAAGAAAATCTTCCCTAAATAATAAACAAAAAAGGTAATAAAACTAAGACATTATTTAATTAGAAAAGCTTTAAATTACTTCAATGTATAAAATGTATTTCATGAGAATTTTTTTGGTGATGAATTGAATTTTTCAATTTTTTACATTTTAATTAGAATAATTGACAATTTTTTAATTCTTTTAAAACTCTGTATTAATTTGTAGCGGTCAAGTGATATTGATATTAAATTAAGACTGCATTTAATAATCATAAATGGAAAAACTCATTATACAATTCAGTGATCCCCAATATTCTAAAAAGAATTTTGCATTTAAAATGTGTATAAATGTGTCAATATCCAAACGTGACATTATCAGAAAATAAGAGCAGTAACTATAGAACTGTTAAATTACATTGCTAATTTCCAAACATTTCCTCAACAAACTTCTTCCTAAGTTAGATTCAAAAGCCAAAGTGCCTTGAGTTCAATAAAAAAATATTAGATTACTTAGAATATTTTCTTAAATTTTTTATTTTGTGGAGTAGTTAAAAAGGTGTTCACGTTATATTCAAGTAATTGTTACAGTTATGTACCTCTTACATAAGTCTGTTGAGAGAGTCATCGACATGGTATAAAAACATGCACCCCATGTTAAAAAAAGAATCTTTTTCTGTGGTATTTTAAATTAAAATCAAGTAATATTTATTTAACATCAGATTAATTAAACTTTAAATCAACTAATCTTCCTCAAAGAAAGTTTCAGAAAAGTATAATATTTTTTAAATATTTTTAATAAGAGAATTACATTGTGTCGACAGATTTGTCAATATGAACGGCTTTACCGTTTTTACTGATAATAAAAAAAATTATTCCAATCTATTTAAATTCAGTTTGAATTATAGGAAAGTATTTTGCTTATTGGAAATATAAAATTTAATCTATTAGCATGAAATTAAAACTAAAATAAGTTTCAAGAAAGATTTTTTTTTCCATTTTTAAAAATAGGTTTTAAACCTTAGGTATCACTTTTCGTTAGAGGTAACGATATAAATCTCTCAAGTGAATAATCGCTTCAAAAATTGTTGCTCGGATAAATCATTCAGATATACATATCTATCTTAAAAAATAAATTTGTCTTAAAAGCAGGATTTGTGTAGTCTGATTTGTTTTTTCTAGAGTTCGATCCCCGCATGAAAACCCAAAAGGATGAACTTTGTGTCAAGCTAAACTTCATCAATCATAAAATTCCACACCGTGTCCGTGTTAATTTTTTTTTTTTTTTTGATTTTTCTTTACTTCCCTGTTCACACTCTTTCATGTCTGAGACGAGATTGGTATAATGAACTGTTTTTCCAATTTTTAAAATCTTGGTGTCAACATGTTGTTCTTGTAGGGTTTCTTTCTTTCTTACCCACACACTCTTTCTCGGCTGATGTAACGAATTAGGTTAATGGAGCCTTTGACATTTTGTATCGTAGCTTGAGGTCTTCTTTTTTCTAAACTTTTTCCTCCCTCTCTTCCCCTCTTGTTTTTACTCAACATCTCACTTCGTCACTTTCATTATGACCCACTCCCTTTCCATTTCTTTTCCATTCTTTGATATTTTTTCATTTCCCTCTTTCTCCTTTTTTCTTAATCTTTATATCGATGTTGATGTACTAAAAGCTTACACAAAGTTAACTGTAAGCTGAGTAGGAAGACCTCGTTATGTCAAAAATTGTTTGCTTTCAAAATCAGCGTTCGAATTGTACCGTTTAACCTCTGTATGTTCTGTTCAATGTAAAATGTCTCTACCTATAAAGATCTTTCGACTTTCAAGTGCTGTCGGTGGACTTCTGTTTGAAAACATCATAATCCACATCTGATGTTCTCAGCTTTATTTTATGGTAGGTGGTAGGTAATCGCCACCTTTAAAATGTCAAAATACGTTTTGGACAGTATGATCAGATGTTATTCCATTTTTAAACATCTGAATTCTGAGAACAGTGTCAGCGGCTTCGAAACCCAGTTTAAAATGATGTCTTTTCTTCGCTTTCCTTTTGTAACCTTGTGTAGGAGCTTTTTTTAGTTTTCTTTCTATACCTGCTTCTGCGGTGATATTATGAAACCTAGCCGCCAATCTAGTACTGAACTTGAATTCGTGAAATCGGGGAAGCAACAAAGAAAGTCTATGAGAAGAGTTATAGTTATGAAAGAGGCAGAGGAACTCTACGCTAAAGTGGTGCGAAAGTGAATGAATCCGCGATACCAGCGATAAAAAAGCTGAATTAGATAACATTTAGGTTACTAAAATACTGAATACTGCTACTACTACTACTAGTAGTAGTACTACTACTACTACCAATGATAATAATGATGATACTCCAAGCATAACTCTCATGGCTTATTGATTGGATGTGTCAACATGAATGTAGAATACATAAACAATAATAAATAAATAATAATATTTTACATTCAACACCATCACTTGATAAGACACCAGAAGTGTTGAAACAAAATGGCTATTTTTGTAGTGACTTTTATAGCATATTTATGCTATAATTTTCGAATAAGTTATATTTGCTCTACTCTGTATTGAGCACGCTTTTAAGAATAGTATATTTTGGTTACTGGAATTTATTCCGTATACACCAATCCTATACTGATATATATATATATATATATATATATATATATATATATATAATGTATATGTATGTATATCCTGTCAGAATATACGTACCTCTTTGAATTCCTCGATCTTTTAATTCATTTTATTTTATTTAAATCTCTCTCCCTCTCTCTCTCTCTCTCTCTCTCTCTCTCTCTCTCTCTCTCTCTCTCTCTCAAGTGTATGTATAAGTTTTACTTACTACTATCCTTTTTTTTTCATTTATTTTAATTCAGTCAGTTTTACTCTTTTTCTCCTATTATGAAAACTTTCTTGTATATGAATTAATGTACAATAAAGTTGGTGATTTGTTTGGATCATTCATCTATTGGACTTTGTTTTCTTTTTAACATGGTTCACGGGTGATGGGATGTCCATTTCCACAAATAATGAATCTTGGCACTTAAGTTAAAACTTTATAACAGCTTCTGACCCCCCTATCTATACCCCCACCTCCGATTCATGTGTTTCTCCTTTAGCCTTTTTACTCCGAATATATAACTTATCAATGACATCCCCACGACCTGTAATCATTTATACTAATCCATATGAGGAGGGGTTGTAGTGAATCCACAAACATCCCCGTTACTCTCCCCTTCCTACTGGTCTTTTCGTCTTCTAGCGCACGAGCAAGCTGTATATGCATATCCTATGCTGAGGCATCCATGTCACCCAGCTAGGCATTCCAAAATAATTTCTCTGGATACCAAGCCCTGGATTGATTTTTTTTCTATTTGTTGTTTGATTGCTGTTTGTTTTTGATGATTTTTTTTAAAAGGAATTAATAGGCTTTCCTATCGCCCGGTCAGTACTCCTCCCACTTCTCTTGGGGAGAAGTAGAGGCTCATCCCTTGCTTCCTGTTTCCGAATCCTTTCCTTGTTTTTGTCCTTAGTAATGGTGCTGTGTTGAATCTTGTTATAGTGGAACACACCTATTCTATAGTTAATAGACTCTCCCACCTATAATAAGTAGTCGCTCAGTCAGTCAGTCGATGTCGGGCGACCGTTAGTCGGATACTAAGAGTATCAGCGACCACCACTAGATTTCTCTGCGTCATTACCTATTATATCAAGTTCCTAACGTTTTGTACGTCGAACCTATTTTAGGACCGACTTAGTACAAATACAAGCCTCCACTGTGAAACTACACTACAATATCTTGACGATGAGGATTCGAACTCATACGGAGAAAAAAAAATTCGTTCGCCATATACAACACTTGGCGACGAACGTATTCGGATTCATACGGAGGAAGCAAAACATTCGTACTCCATAACAAATCTCTTGTGATGTGGGCGGCTTGTGGCTACGTCTCTTCATACCGAGTCTCTGATTGCTGTTCCCAACTGGTAGTTCGGAAGCCGAACTCTTGCGTAGCGTCTTGAGACGCTGCTCTGGTCAGCAGTTGCATAATATCGAGGTTCCTGCAGTGCCATATCTCGCATGGACGTGTATACCTGCATGCACCTCCGGTGGGTAACCATTCAACCACTGATTGGATGTCATTTTTGTGACCAAAGGCCAGGTTAACTTTGTCAGCAATACTGGATTTACTATTGAGACAGGAGTAAATGGTCGTGCCGTCTGCATAGATTCCTACTTGAGAACTGATGACATCAGGAAGATCATTGATGAAGATCAGAACCTTAGGAAACACCAGCGTTCATATGAAAGGAACTGGAAGAAAGCCCGTTCAGGACGACCTTCATTTCCCGATTTGATAGGAATGATTAGATTAAATCATATAATCATCCTGTAATACTGTAGCCCTGAAGATGGCGTAGAAGGCCAGCATGCCAAACTCTGTCAAACGCCTTCGATATATCTAGAGCAATAGCTTGAGCTTCACCTTTTTTATCAAGAGTTTGGTATACATATTCAGTTATGGCCGTAAGTACATCAGCGATAGATCGGGCAAAAGCGGAAATCATATTGTTTGTCAGAGAAAAGTTTATGAGAGGTAAGATGCTTAACCAATTCGAAGACTTTGCTGAAGAGTGTAGGAGACTTATAGGTTGGTAGGTAGATGGGTCAGAAGGGTCTCCAGAGTTCTTAAAAACAGGGACGACAGAGGAGGACTCCCAAGCAGGCTGGAAAGTAAGAATCAGCGAGGCAGTAGGTGTATACTTTGGAGAGAACTGGAGCCAGTTCGGGAGAATATTTCTTTAGTACTACTGCTGGTATCCTGTCCCCACCACTTGCCTTATGGGGGTCTAATTTAGAAATGATGTCCGAGACCAACGACGGGGTATCATATCACTCAGTAGAGCCTCAATTCTGGGGGTGGGGAATCGGGTGTGGGCACTCCGGATAGGTTGAGTGTTGAGTTGGACGAGAATTTCCGAGCAAATCATTCAGCCTTATCTGCTGTGGATGTCAGGACTTTGAATTGATTGAATAGAGGAGGGATTGAGGATTTGCTGCTGTTCAGCACACTCGTGCAGAACCGCCAATATTCTCTTGAACCGAACTTGCTAGATGCTATACGCTAATACATTCTGTCAGCAAACAGTAACTTTGCTACGTTGAGGACACGTTTGCACTCATTACGAGCAGAAACAAAGAGAATCTGTTGCAATCAGACATGTCGCTCCGGTACAGACGGAAGTGATGATTCCTGTGGGCTATAGCAGCTGAGCAAGCAAGTGAGAACCAAGGAGATGAGCGCGATTTAACTTGGTATTTCCTCGCTGAAATGAAAGCATCGATGCCGACTTTCACCCAGGCGAAAGCGTCAGCTACGCATTTTTGAACGGGGTGATTAAAAACTACATTCCAAGAGACGTCGCGAAGGAAATCATGGAACGACTCACAGTCTGCGCGTTGATAACAGAAAGATATTCTGTTGCTGGGAGGTTCATGGTGGGAGTGGGTGGAAGAAGATGTTTAAAGAAACTAGCAAGTGATCAGAGTTACCAAGAGGGCAGAGCTGCGTAGCGTGACAAGAGTAAGCAGTGGAAGTTAATCAGAAGTCGAGAAGGGAAGTGTTACCATTAGGTTTACTGGGAAAACGCATAGGAAAGTCAAACACTTGCGTGAGGGACTGAGGGATTAAAAAGTTAAGGGTTTGGATGTCAGCGAGGTCAGTTACAGAGTGTTTAAGCCACCTTATATAGTAGGCGTTAAATTCACCGAACACGAATATATTTGCAAACGGGTTCAGAGATATGGCCTTGTCTATATTATAGGAGATACTATCGAGCACACTGCAATCTCGAGGCAAAAGAGAACGGTAGAGAAAGTGATAGCTTACTGAATTAAGGAGAGATAGACACATATACGAATGGTCTGAAGATTCAAAAGAGAGTTCTCTATCCAACGGACAACGGACATAAACTCCCAGACCATTCAAGTTAACTTTAGAGTCCTTTCTAAGGAGGGCAATGAGACCAGGAATCGAGAAATCAGAGGAAGGTATTGAAGAGTTAGGTTAGTCTCGCAGGTTAGTCTATTATATCAGGAGACTTACCGAAGAGGAACGATTGCATACTGCAGAAGTTGGTACGAATATCACAGATGTTAAAGGGAAAGGTTAAGAGTCTTAGGGGTCATTTTTGTTGACTTGGTTTAGTTTATGTTTTTGGTTGTTTATAGTCATGAGTTATAATGGTAAGGAAAAAGACTAGTGTAGTAGTAGCAGTCGGTCATCAAATGTAACATTGACAGAAAGGAACAAGCACAGGCTGCAACATAGTGTGGAGAAAACCAATCATTTTTCTCCACATTCATAGAAACTAATATTATGAATGTATGTGCTTATAAAACTCAGTAAATTTCAAAATAATTTATTCCAAAATTCGCTAGAAAATGAAACAGAACTAGGGACTTTAATTTAATATAATTGAATTTGAAGTGCTTCTATTTTTGAAACATGGTAATTCCTGTGTAGCGATGGAACCATATTTTTAAATAAGTAAATCTATAATATTTATGCTCTCTAGATTTGCACTGAGCACTGTTTTGTAAAAATAAAAATATTAATAAGAACACCGGATTATATATTATATATTACTGTTCTTTCTCTTTATGTGGATAACCATATTAATAAAAAAAAGCTCTCGTCTATTCGATCGATCACTACTGAGAAAAAAAAAAGATAATTATAAAACAGTGGCCGTCAAAGCTATTAACACACAGCTCTTCATTAATTAGTCGAGCACTGTTGGCTACTGGCATTTGTTTACATCCGTATACAATACGTTAGAATTTCTCTTTCTCTCTGGCGTGCGCCGATGCCGGCTGGAAGCAACTGGATGAGTTGTGATAAAGTATGTGGATAACTATATATATATATATATATATATATATATAAGACAAACTACATCTGGCAGCAATGGCTCTGATCAGGCGATTGGAGGTTTTGAGGAGTGTGGAACCACCACTTAACTGCTGTTATTCCCATTTCCACTCTGACCCGTGGTGGTAGCACCTGTTAGGGTCCTAGCTATGGACAAATAGTGAACAACCAAAGAGAAATGAAAATTTTTTTAGAGTAAAATTACCATCAATACATCTTTTTTATAAAAAAATTGTTACCATTAATACATTTTTAGATCCAAATGACCAAGAATTCATACAATAATTGCTGACCTCGGTGTCCACTTTATTTGAGATATAGTGATTTTCCAAGCGTAACTTGGGTATGGCACAAAGCCGAAAGTAAGGGGGGCTCTCAGTGAGGATCGAACTCACTACTCAGTCGTAATTGTTCTAGCAAGACAAGCTTGCTAACCATTACACCACCGAGATGCTACTTTATTTGAGATATATAAATAAAGTGATATCTGCATCGGAATGAATTCGGAGAACAGAATTTGAATCTCTAATTCCCATTATCCCGCCCCTGTCTCGAGAAAGACGTTTCTCCTGTCAATCTGTTTCATTGGCAGATATCTCTATAAAATATCATGTGTTATTTCAATAAGTCTTTCGATTATGCATACAAAAACTGGGCCTTTGGACTTTCCGTTTGGCCGTGATTTAGGTGACTTAACAAGCGTAGCTTAGATGTGGCACAAGGCCGGAAGTAGGGGGAACCCAGGGAGGATCGAACTCACTACTCAGTTGTAATTGTCCTAGCGAGACAAACTTGCTAACCATTACACCGCCTCGAGGTGTCCATGGCCGTGATTTATAAACGTATAAAAATATCGGTATGATATTAGAAATTAGTATATAAAA